CGAAATCAGAACCGACAAATCCAATGACCGACACGGCACACTTCGATTGCATTTCCGAAACACAACATCAACGCAAAAACACGGCGACGACTACATTCGACAACCCAACAAACAATTTTAGCTGCAGATTAGCTTATACAGCCAAAATTTGCCTTATGCAGCTAATTTTTGCCTGTATAAGCTAAGCTGCAGCTAAAATTGTTCGTTGGGAAGCGTCTTTCATCCGGGAGGCGGAACGCCAGCCCGCAGCAAGCAAGGGAAGAAAAAATGCACAAACAGCTGAAATGCTATTGTTGAAAGCCAAACGCGCCAGCAGGCATATAGGCCTAGGTATATATACGATGCTGGATTCCCCAACGGTTTTCCATCTGTTTGGGAAGTGACCCTCGTCCAGGCATTTTCCGGCCCATCCTCAACATGTCCGGAAATGTCCGGGAACGCCTGGATTGCCACTTTCAACGTCACGTTGGGGATACCGTTTGGACCGGGAGCTTTATTCATCTTCAATTTTTTGAATACTAATGCAATTTGATGTGTCGCGTGTTTGTTTTAGTACAGGTCAAATTATGGCAACTTCTCCGGAAGAAGCCGAAACATGCCCGAGTGTATCCAATGTTGTTTTGGACACGCAACATGAATATCATGGTATATATGGTATGCACGGTTTTGATACAAGTTACGAACTTACCACTTCCTCGGGAGCATCCGTAGCATGTCCGGTTGTGACCAATGCAGTCCTGGCCCAGGCACCCAGGCTGGGTGCTCAATATGACCACCATTGATTATGTTTTTGAATTCTCACGTGATTTGAAGTTCCACATGACGGGTTTAACACGTTTCAGGTTGGTTCTAGCTTTATGTCCGATACACACCGGAACTTGTTCCTGTCATATCTCCAAAACCACTTGACTGATTTAAAATGAATATCTATGAAACCATTATAGCTTTCATTTGCTGTTTGTTCCTTTCAATTCGGTTCAGTAGTTGCCGAGTTTCCAAAATTCGTATTTTTTCGGATTTCATTACGGCTATATCTCAGGAACCAATTAACTGATTCTTAAACTATTCAAAAGTGTTTTATGAAAAAATGGTACCTTTCATTTTGTAGTTGTTGTTTATTTATTAAAAACAAAAAATTTGAAACATTTCGATTGATTGACTAATATTCATGATGACAACATTTTCTTAACGGGATAACATTTGCAAAACACTGTTCGAAGGTTAGTGTAACATGACGTTAACAAAACATTATCCTTTTAACCAACTCAAAACTTCCCAAAATCCGTTCACCGTGATAAAAGCAACAACGGTTTGACGGTTGATAGTGATTAGCGACGCCGGTGGTGTAGTGGTAAGCGTAATTGCCTCTCACCCTAGCAGGCCTGGGTTCAATCCCAGTCGGCGCTGCCGGGATGTTCTGAGGCATAACATCTTTGATCACGCCTTCCTTCGGAAGGGAAGTAAAGCCGTTGGTCCCCGGTTCATGAGTTGATGGGTCGATAGGTAGGGTCCAGGTGTGGGAGTTGCCTCCCTGGCACCGGTAGCATTGGTGCTCAGCACGGAAAACAAGTTCGACGGAAAATCAAATCAAGGAAGAAAAAAAATAGTGTTTGACTAGAAATTATATGTTTTTATAGACAATTTGGTTCATGGTAGTTAAAGAAATAATAGATTCTAATATGGTAGTCTAATAAGAAACGATTTTCTAAAATAACTATAATTACCTACAGACCAAGCCAATCAAATCAGAAATTATATTTATAACCATTGAATTTTTCATCATCCAGCAGCCAAAACTTTTTGCAAAATCTGAAAAGTAACAACTCTTTGAAGACACAAAAAAATCACAGTGTATTATTGTTTATGTCCAGTTTTTTATATCTTACTTGACATCTTACCGAGAACTCGAAGCGAAATTTTATGATCAACATGAGAATTAGGCTGAACAGCGTCGATTTTAAATGCAGATTTTTCATGAACTAAAGGCTCATTCATGCATGACAATGGAAGATTTTTTATATGAATCTTAATCATGGATATTCAGCTAATCAGTCTTTAAATTATTACAACAAACAGTTAAATTTTGAACGACGTTTCAATGCCAGTTAGCAATCCTCAAGGAAAAAAAAAGTTTTGATCTTCGTCCAACAGTTCGCTGAGGATGGACTCTGGTGAATCTCAAGAATAATTCTAGAGAAGAATTTCAATTATAGTTCTGGAGAATCTAAAGAAGAATTTTGGGCAATCTCAGCAAGAGTAATTTCGGAGGATTCGAATTGGGATTATCGAATATCATTGTCCACGACTAACCACTCCCAGAAAGTGTTCGGTGATTCACCACACTTAGTCTGGAGAACCATAGACGAATTCTAGATAATCCCAAGAGAGATAACCAAGTGCGATTCTGTAGAAAACCAAATGGAATTCTAGAGTTTCCCAAGTGACAATCTCAGATAGTCAGAAACTTCAAATAACGCCAAGGAAGATTCAAAAGAATCTTAATCAAAATTACATAGAATCCTAACAGGAGATAATGAAGAGCATAACAATGAATTCCGATGAATTTCACAAGGAATTAAGGAGATAAATCCTAAAATAAATCTAATTTGGAATTTTGGAAACATAGAGAAATATTTGGCAGAGCGTTAAATTATTTACTGGTTACACTGAGTATGAGAGCGTTGCATTATTCAATGAATTGCTCTATCCAGACCGTATGTACTAAACGGTAACGGACAAGCTAATGAAAGAGTCATCATAAACATTCAGTCGCTCATGAACAGCGCTTATCTTCGCTCACACAGCATGTAAAATAAGGATTGGGTACCATCACGCAAGAATAAACGTGCTAACTGAGCCACTGACTGAGTGCTCTACTTTCAGTGACTTTAAAGAGAGTTTGAATGATCGGGAAGTAAACAGATCATTCAAACTCTCACGAGGCAGTGAATGATGAGGCGGATGGCTGTTCATATTCATAGAAAAATTACTCATAACCTGACTGTTTTGCACACTGATCCTGAGTAGTAACAACAATAACTTTAGTTCTACTCTGGCGCCACCTAAGGAGGTAATTTATAACAAAACTAATCACTACTGAATGGATCTCGTCCATTTGTACAACTTTACTCAAGACAGAATACTTCAATCTGGTCTCGATCCCTAGTTATCATGAGCATAACATTAGGTATACTCTCGTACATTTAAACAACTTTGCTAATGTCAAAATTTTTCTTACCAGTCTTGATACTGAGTTCTCACAAGAATAACTTTATTTGTACTATGAACGGGTCTCATCCATCTGATCAACTTTGCTCAAGACAGGGAACTTCTATATGGTGTCGATCCTGAGTTATCGATGTAAGAACTTTAATTACACTCTGGCGCCACCCAGCGAGTCAACTCCTATCTAAACTGTTTACTGCTGAACGGGTCTCGTCCATTTGAACAACTATGCTGAAGACAGAGAACATAAATCTGGGCTCGATACCTAGTTCTCACAAGAAGAACTTTATTTGAACTCCTAGCGCCACCTAGTGAATCTATCAGCAACTAAACTGTTCACTACTGAACGGATTTCATCAATTTGAACAACTTTGCAAAAGACAGAAAACTTCTATCTATTCTCGATCCTGAGTTATCAGAGGAAGAACTTTATTTGTATTCTGGCGCCACCCAGTAAGTAATTTCCCAACTAAACTGTTCACAACATCTTCCCTGAAGAAAGGAAAAGCTTCAGTATTGCAACATGATGTCTTAATCTACTTTTTTGTTCGAAATATATCTTCACCAATAGAAAGAGGACACCCGGACCAATTTAAATGAGCTTTTCACTATTTTACCGATTTTTTCCAAGCGCGTGTACTCAGTGTACTAGCATGCCAAGTCAGCAACAATTTATTAAATATTCATCCAATCATCTTTTTTTAAACTAGCTATAATCCCTCTAAGCTCATCATAAACTTCTTCTGCATGGCACACAAACTTTATGTTACTAACTTTCCCAACGTGAAATCGATTTTCTTACTTATACTCCATGCAAAGCACATATAAACATTCATCCACCAAAACCAGAAGCACACGGAAATACACCGCATAATCGGGCCAACCATGGAGGAGGGAAAAAAGCTGTGATGAAAATCGAAATCGTCGCGACGGCAACAATTTTCGCAGCCAGACGACTTTTTCTCCCTTCGAAAAAAAAAAGCTGTTTGCTCCCTCAGTGAGTGTGTATGTATGCATCTCCGCGCACGGTTGCACATTTCTGCATCCCGAAAGCTAGTTGGTTTTTCTTTGTCTGAGCTTTGTGTCTGGAAAACAGCAGAAAATCGGTTCCGTCCTCGTCGTCGTCGTCGGAGTACAAAAAGCACGTTCCTTTACTCAACCCTGCATTTGGACGGAAGAAGCATGCTGGGGTTCTGTTGAAGCAAACTTTAAGCAGCCATTCATGCTTGGAAGAAAAACTAATTGAGATAATCGATAAACTATACGCGGTAGTCTATGAGTGCGCCAACGACCGAGGTGCTAAAAAATAACATTTTCATTGCAAGTTTTACTATCTGCAGTCGCATAAAACACGGAAGTGCCAAATTTAAGTTTAACTCGAAATGCACTAATCAAATCCGTCTGGAACAGCGACATGAAAAAGAGTCAGTATTCTGATTGCGTAGTACTTGGGATGGAACTAACTACGAAACATCAAGACTTGATTTATACAAGCAAAAGTTGGTGTAAATTATAGCCGAGGCGCGAGTGAGTGGTGGATTCGTTATTTTATTCGCTTTACGAGCAAAAAAAATGTTTTCCAACTCTCGAATTTGAATTGTGTTCTTTGCGGTCGTATCTTGTAATATTTTATGTATTCATAAGATGATGCTGAATTCAGTATTCTTCTTTGCGCTACTGCCACATAGCTTTAAAGTTTCAAAATGTGTTTTTGGTTCGGAACATGCATTCAAGACAATCAAGCACTGAACAGTGTGTATTCTCTGCATTTTCAGGATATCCCCAACCTCATCACCCACCCGAAGGACCAACAGCATCAGTAGCAGTAGCCCAGTGCACAACAGCAACAGCAACAGCAACAGTCACAGCGATTGGCGGAGGCGAAATCTAGCGCGAAACTCCGACTCGATTAGCAGTTCAACGAGCGACAAACCTTCCTCCAATGACAACACGGTCATTGCCAAGAGTCCCACACAGACTACACTGGTGAGTACCTGATGGCAGCCTTAGATCGAAGTAGCCTCGCTGCTACATTCTTTGCTGTACACAGCGTTAATATTTACGATTTTTTGACAAAACTCAGGAAATCATGACGGATCCTGACGCAGTGGGTTTTTTTTTTTATTCGTGTTGTTTTCAAAGATCAAATGTCGTGATAATCTGACATATGTCAATCATGTAAATATTTACCCAGATTCAATATTTGCATTGACGAATTGACGTGTTTGTATTTTGTTACGTTATTGTTTATGAAAAATTAAAATTTTAAATGTTCATCTTCAATGATTAACAAAAAATCACAATGGGGCAAAGGCAGAAATAATTGAAAAATAAAATCAAGTAGTTTGGATCTTTTGATTTGTTTCCCATAATGATCATTAAATTCTTTTCGTAGATCCATCTTTTTAGCCCAATCAGGAGAAATGTAGTTTTGGTAGAATTTAAAGGTACAAACATGGGAAAAATGATAGCCAAATTACATTTTCATCTACCCATAAAAGCATATCAGTCCCATTTGAAAAAATAGCAAGCCGAGGAAAACGCTGTTGAAAATGTATCTCCGTTGGTTCTTATGGATTGGAGATGGGACAACCTAGTTTTGGTCCATCCTGATGAATGTGGGCGTCTTAGTGGAATACCTGTATAAAGAGAAAGAGAGAGAAGGATTAGTAATTTCCATTTAATGCTACTACTTTATTTGCTTATCCTTGACAGATACGCGTATTTCGTCTACAATATTCAGACTTCTTCAGTGTCTTGTACTAATACTCGTTTCGACTCGAGTATTATTACAAGACACTGAAGAAGTCTGCACATTGTAGCTGAAATACGCGTATCTGTCAAGGATAAGCAAATAAGGTAGTTGAATTAAATGGAAATTACTAATCCTAGTTTTGGTATTTTTCACGCTATTTTCTGAACAAAACATGTAACTTTTAGTGCACAGTGTAAAGTACAAGTAGTTTACAATCGATTATAATAAATAACTCATTTATGAAAAAAATGTGTCATGTTATGTATGCGCAGTTATGTATCTAATGTTTGGAAATTTAAGTATAGATTTTCTTATAAGTGAACGGTAAGACGGCCAGTTTTTGGCCATATCTTAATTTTCAATGTCATTCATTCTTTACCAAAATTACCAAGGTTAGATCATAGATTTTGCTATATCTCTACGCAAATGAAACCATGAAAATATATTTCAAACTTAAGTTAACTATAAAAACTAGAGCATTAGTGCCATAACTGACATACTTACCCTAAATCATATCCAAAAAACCAAATTTAAAGTGTTTGTAGTGTTTTTTCACCTTATTTTGGATCGATAACAATGAATAGAAATTGTTTTTTGACCATTTTTCCTAACCGTCAATGTTCAATCATGAATACGAAAAAAAAAACCAATTGTGTCTCCACCAATCTAACAGGTAAGGAAATGTTATCAAACAAACTAGATCAAATGAACGATCTTCGCGAACTTTCACCTGCTGTCAACTAAGTGTTCTTTGAAGCACTTTTCCAATCATCATTTGAGGGCATTTGTCCAAAGAAGTCCAAAAAAAATCCTACCCATAAGATTTCCTATAATGGACCGATAATTGAACCTGCCACCTCCAGTTTTGTAATACAGTGCATTAAATAATTAGGCTTGCGATCTGATGCTTTCAATCATTGCTAAGTTTTTTTTTTCATTTTTGTCTCATCCGATTGAATTTAAATAGTTATATCAAACTCATTTTAAACACTGTATCGAAAAATCGAGCGAATGAACATTTCTTTTTTAAACACGAATAGAAAGATTTACGAAATCTTGGCTGGTGGCTGATCAACTATTTATTGTTTTATCGGTATACCTTTGACTTTATTGGCACTGTATGAAGTTCAATCAATTTTAGTAAAACGATCGATATTCAACTATTTTCGTAGTGGACGGATTTTAATAAAATTAATGGCATATGAAGATCTTGATTATTACTACAAATAAACAAAAGTTCTAAAAGTTTGATGCTTTGCATTTCAGGTTTTTGAGCAAGTGTGGTTTTTCTATAATAACTTTAACTTCTTGCTCACTCAACCAAATAAGCTCAATACTACCGATAATCGACAAATTTTTGATGAGCCAGAAGCTAAGAATTCAGAAATCTATCTTTTTAAATTGTGCTCGTTTATGTTTTCGAAAATTTTATGGATAACTGTGCGCTCAATTTCGAGATATACTGTACGACAGATTACTGAAAATTTTCCTTACTTCCTTATTAAGACTTCTTGTAGTCATTAAAAAATTGCAAGCAATTAAAAAAATGTAAATACACAAGTAAACAAATAAATTAAATAAGTTCATAAACTATTGAAAATTGCTTGTTAATAAATTAAAAACTCTAACCTAAATCTATAATTTACAATAAACATTTGAAGAGCTTCCGGTTCAAAATCTAAAATTTGCAATGAATAACAATATTAGCTCAAAAATATTTAAAAAATAATAATAAGATATTTAAATTTGAGAATTTGTAAATAAGTGACAAAAATTAAACTATAAATAAAATCATCAGACTTTATTATTGTCACTTTTCAAACTCTTCAACTGTTCATTAAAAATGTTCAAGGTTTTTCATTGAAAAATAAGTTTTCAATTGAAACTTTAGAATTTTCATGGCAACTTTTCAATTTATTGAATTTATTTATTTGGCAAGCGAATAGAACGTTTTCAATAAAAACTTTCCAATCATTTATGGGATTAATTCATTATTCTTGATAAAAGAGCGGTTTATTTATTTTTATTTTTATCGATTGATGTGAGCTTTATATATTTAAACCGGTAATGGTAATAGTGCAATATCTTCGATTTCAAAGGAATGCGCTATGAATGACCTTGCGTCTCCATTGCAACACATCTACTGAGGAAAACCTATGTATTCGATTGAATCATGTTATGTACTAGATCGAAATCCGAAGGGACCGAAATCCACATACCTTAAAAATGAATCGTATTACGATTTTCGAATTAAAAAAGTTGAATATATTTGTGATCAAATGGCCAAGAAGGAGCAATGTTTGGTTATACATTTTGAGTATCGCACAGGTTCATCACCGCTTCACATTGAAATTAATGTTCAAACATTTCTAACTAAAATGCGCCTATTTTCAGTCAAATGGCATGGTTACTGTCTGAAAGTGTTTTTTTAATACCTTTCCTTTAATAACTTCACTGAAGACATATGTATCTCTAATGTTGCACATTTTGTATAGGTTTATGTAATAAGTATCTTAGGGTAACCCTAAAAAATCTATTTAATCAAATGAACTGTTTTATACATTGATTTCTCGGAAATAATTCATTCTAAACACTTTCAGAACTTTTGATGGTGCTTATTTATGTATAAGTGAGCAACTTACAATCACTTTTATTATGGAAAGTTATAAACCATGTTCGTTAAATAATATAAGAAAGCAAATCCGCGTGCAGAAATGTGCAGCTAGAAACTAGTGCAAATAAATTAAGCATTCGTAAGGACCTTTTTTAAAGTCTGATGTGGGGAATCGAAGGGGAACGCTAAATTTGGATTGGTTGAAAAACATCAAAATATTATAACTGAAAAAAAGTGTTAATTTGATGGGAAATCCAATTAACACTTTTTCAAGCCAAATTTTGAACCATCCAACAAACTTACATATGGGCTATTCCGCGCCAAGAGACAGAGAAAAATTGCAAAAGTAAAATTACGCTTGAAGTATTCAAACGTGAATTAAACTTTTTATGGCAAAACTGTACATAAATAATATTTAAGTATTAAGTATTTGGATTTGATTCTTTTATAAAAATAGTACCAAAAGCTAACTTTAACTTCATTCGTTAAGGAGATATTTACCTTAGAATGTAGGGCTTTCTTGAAAAACACGAAAAATAAAAAAATAAATGTTTCTCTTGAGCAAAAGGGATCAGCACAAAAATTTTGATTTTTGAAATTTGGAGTTAAAAAAAACCTTCCTTTCCATATTTTTTTCCAAATCGGGAAACGTCTACCTCAGACATTTGGTGCAAAATGACCCGTATGCAACCTGATTACGAGAAAATGTCTTCAAAATTAGTAAAATCATGAATTAAAACAAAGTAGGGCACGAGAACGCACTTAGATTTCAAATGACAAAAATATAACGACACCTAAAGAATTTACACCTTGCACATAAAATGATAATAATTGCTAATAAACCTGCTTGCTGAGGAGCAATAATCTATTGCAAATTAGCATGTGGTAAGTACCAATTCATTTAAAAAGTTTGATAATTCAAAATATTGCTTTTGCCTGTCCAACAATAAATTGAAAAGTTTAAACAAATAATTCAAAAGTAACAATAAAAAACAGATGTTTGAGCAATAAAAAATAATTGAAGAATTTCCAATTAAAAATCAAAATGAGCTCCAAAGCGCCTAAAACATCACAATGAGCTCCAAAAAATTAAAAAGCGAGCAATAAAAAATTTCAAAAGTGCCAAATAACCATCAAAATTTTCCAATAAAAAACTGCTATTGTTATTGTTATTGAAACTTTTTAAATTTGTTATAGGTTTTTAGTTTAAGAGCTTATTTTGATTTTCTTTTATTGCAACTATTAGAATTTTAATTGGAAATTATTCAATTATTTATGGAACATTTAAAATTTCCTATATGCTCAAACATAGGTTTTTTTGCTTTTTTCCTTTATTATTGTTCACTTAAATTCCCTGATAGACGATCCCGGTTTCAATGGAAATTTCTCTTTTCAAGCCACAGGCGCAGATAGCCTGCCAAACCAGATTTTTCTTAGCGAACTTCGACAGTTTCATATGCTTGAAAATGTCTGCCACCTTTCTCCTTCTGGATACCGATAAAACTCCTTCCCAGGAAACTGTTTGAAGTCTGCCTTGACGTCTTAGGTTTCGTCGTCCATTACCACGCAATCAAACTTGTACAGCTTCCGGGATCGTGTTTTGTTTTGTTTATCGCA